TTTTGAATTGGTGTAAACTAAATATTTTATTTATGAATTTTTCCCAATAACTTCTCATAAAGAATGATTAGATCGTTCAAAATTTGCTTATTGGGCCTATTGGCAATTTTGATTGCAGAAGCAAACGTATAAGAATATTTTTTTCTAAATAAATATTTAAATGGCGTCGGAATCTATAATGAATTCTATCGTGCAAGAATTAAGATAGATATGCATGAATTCGTGTATGTATAAAAATCTTCCGATTAATTTGCTTTGATTTTAAGAGCAAAATCAAATCGTGCTGATAACGTGTTATAAGAAGAGAAAATAAAATAAGAGAATAGGAGAAGTCAATAGACTTTTATGGGTATTATAATGAGAATCAAAACTCTATATTTATATAGAATGCATATGGATACATGTGGTAATAATATCTAGGGATGTAGGGGTACATCTGAATTTTTTTGAAGACATTGACATACAAGACATGAATCATTTGATACAAGAATTGAAATCAAGGGAAGTAGTTGTACTCTTTTTCCTTCGATCAAGTTTTGTCCCACTAGATTTTCTTGACAGAGTTTTAACAAGCAGCAATTTATTACTTTTCATATTTATATTCTTTGTTGTTGGCATTTTTGTTCCATCGGGTTTTTGTCAAATAATGTATTAAGAAGGTATATATTTTGTAATGTGTCATTCAAGTGAGAGTGTTGTAAATGTTAAGTTATTGGTGAATGATAATTGTACACTTACAGCTGTATATATTATTACTATATGTATTCATATTCATTCCTTATAAATATAGAGATTCGGTTTTCATTATACACGCAAAAGTCTATTGATTTCTCTTATTCTCTCTTTTTATAACAGAAATGATTATATTATCACATTAATCGGACATCAAAAGATCTGTTATATTACATAACATTTTTAATCATGCTACGTGTATATCATCATTTATATCATTTTTGACACTTTGTAGAGTGAAAAATATATCATTGGACAATTTAAAATTTTGACAGTTTTTTCACCCTATCAATAATTGTCAATACTTGTAATCTACCTATATTAAAAGAGTGAAGGAGTTTTCACTATTCATAGCCACTATTCCTAAGAACTATTCCTAAGCATTATGCCTAAGGAGCCGGCTCGGCTAATTTTTTTTTT